AAAAAAATCTGATTTAACGACATCTGACAATAACTAGTAGCAACTTCTTAACCTAAAAATTAATTGCACTACCACCTAGCGCCTGAGGCTGGAACTATTTTATTTGAAATTTCCATGGAAACGGTGGAACCGCTTTTGCTATTTTACTTTCCCGCCCCTGGTCAGGAACCTTTAAAGAAAACATGGACAACAAGACAACCAGTAATCGTGAATGTTTTGTAAGCTATAAAAATATAAATATTGATTAGATTTGTTTATTTATTATTGATCTATTTTAATATTGGATCTGCAAATATTCACTTGACCTGTCTAACGAGCTTAACAGTTAATTAATAAAGTACTTTTCAATATTAAACTCCATTGAAAAGAAGAAGCAAACGTAAAAGCGGAGAATAGGTACATTAAAAATGCATAAAAGATAAATTTTATAATAGAGGTGTTGAAATTTAGAAAACGTCAACATTTGACGTTTCCAGTATTTTACCAAACCGTTCCGTATCAAACCGATGTTTTTCAGGAACCGCTCTTTACCGTAGTTTACCGGTCTGGTTCGCCTGGTTTTGCAGCGGAATACAGCCTAAGACAAGGAACAGTTTTTTCAATGCCAATGTCGGTAACCGCCTTTATTTAACTACTGTTCTTTCTACTTTTATAATCAGAATTCAACGATTAAGTTACAAGTTCTAGTTAAACCTAAGTTGTGTCTTTACATAATAAAAGACAAAACTAAGAATTAACTAGAGCTAGTAGCTTAAATTAATTTCTATTGAGAATAATTAGTAAAACAACACAATATTTACATTAAAAAACATTTATTTAATAACGATTTGACTTAAATATACATTAAAATATAATGTTCGTTTCGAAATCTTAAAAAAATATGTAATACTGCATGTAAAAAATAGAAGTTTTAGTTTTATCCGGATTGATGTCTAGTAAATAAAATTTTGGATATTTTAATATTAGGCCTAAAGCTTTATTTACCTTTTGCCAAGTTGAATTCAAATCAAACGAATCAAAAATGTGAAATATTCGTATCATCAGCATACATAACTATGTTAGAGTGGTAAATCAGCTGCAGATATATTAAAAATAACAGAGGCCTCAAAATGGAACTCTGAGGACCTGAATCTGATATAAATGTTTCCATCGTAGAGTAAGTCTGATCCAGCAACCCCTCACTTGCTTCTAAAAGCTATATAAACTATTCGGGCAAACTATTTTTTGGATTCGGAAAGCAATGATCTTTCGGTCCATTCTTTAAGCACTTCGAAATACCACAAAGTGACGGCATTAGGGAATGCAATCCCGCACCAAAATCTCAATCCCGCAAACCCGCGGGATTAAAGCAGTCAATCCCGGGGATCCGCAAAATTGCGGGACTGTAAACAATAGTCATACATTTGGTCCTAAATGGTACAAAAGGCGTTGTACATTTTGCATAGGCCCACAATGTATTGATATAGCGTGTATCTTAAACTAGCTGTACAGAAATTTGAACCGATGTATACAGAGTGTTCAAAAAATATATTTAATATTAAATAAACTTAAATTTTATTATAATTTATCTACTTATTTTATAAATAAAAATATTATTCTGATGTTGAAGTTTTTTTAACTTGTGTTGGTTATCTGCTTTTAGATACACTCTATATCAATCATTTTTTGGCATATGCAGAATGTACAAAGTTTTTTGTACTATTTAGGACCATACGTATGCCTAATGCATATTTAAAAAAAACGTTGTATTTTCCTTAAAACAAAAAATTAAAAAACCTATCAAATTGTTTTTTCTAATTTCAATACAGATTAGTCGTACTTGGTAAAAATTTCGATTTTTTAAAAATTGTAAATTTGCGGTAAAAAAGATTCTTAACCAAATTTTCTCTTATAAAAGACCCTGTATACGAGAATTCGCTAAATATATTTTCGAAAACCATACAGCATCTTAATCACAATAGATGCATCTAACACCTGGTCCAAACCGCATCCCAAATCTTTTTTAGTTCGATAACAGATACCTATTCAACTTTAAATTTACCCTAAAATTTTGCTTGTCCCGACAATTACATATGTCCGGCAGTTTATTCGACGAAATTGTCCACAGGTACTAGTTAAACGCTTTTCTTCACTTACGCACATACCCCAGAAAGAAATCTAACAAGTAACCTGTTTCTTTCACTTATTTTTAATGGCCAAGCCGTAAGGGGAATCCCCCGGGTTCCGACCGTCAACGCATCGGCCCGGAACGAAACGGTTTGACCCTGGATCGGGATCGATTCGGTTACCCAGTAGTAATGGGTCAATCCCGCGGATCCCGCACGGTAAATCCCACAACTTTGATCCCGCGGAATCTCAGAGGGATCCCGCATTTGCGGGATTGCATTCCCTAGACGGCATGGTGATGGTAAATTTTATTTGACGCAGAACAAAAATAGAAAGAAAAACATAACGGTGGTAAATCAAACATCCTTAGTAAATCGCAGTAGATATTATGAAACAAACTCAAAAGGTAACATTTATCTTTGTTTACCTCTTTTACAAAATGTTAAACTAAAATGGGGGAGGAACAGGAAACAGGAAGTTTAATTACGATCTTTGTTCTATTGCGAGATTATTTGAAAGTAAAGTAGCGGCAATTCTTGGTGCGACCGCGGGATAAGAAACTCCTCTAGCGGGATAAGAAACTATAAAAACTGCCCCCAGAGTGGAAAGGCCATGGGGTGCTACAAAAAACAAGATTTTTTTCTTTTTAGTTACCATAAAGATACCGTTCACGTGGATGAAAAAAAAATCTGGTTTAATATTAATATTAAGTGGTGTCTTATCGTGATTTTCTATTTTCCATTTAAATAACACGGGGATTTTTTTTTTAATTTATAGCGTTCTAACAATTCAGAGTGTTGTAAACATCAAATGGGTTTAGACAGGGATTTGGCACAAGGGAAGCATTGTTCAGTCTGAGTGTTCTTCTTCAGAAGTGTTGAGACCAGCGAAAGAATGTATGCGTGTGCTTCATAGATTACCAGAAAGCCTTCGACTGTGTCAACCACTCGGAACTTATAAAACTTCTAGAGGAGAAAATGGTGGACAGGAACGACCTGGCATTCATAAAAAAGCTTTACTTAAACCAGATAGCATCGGTGAAGGTAGGAAATGAAACCACCTCTAGTTTTCCAATAGAGAAGGGTGTAAGACAGGGTTGTGTCTTGTCGCCTCTCCTCTTTAATTTGTATTCGGAGGCCATTTTTGACAGTGCCTTAAAGGACACAGACGACGGCATAAAGATCAACGGCTACGCGGTTAATAACCTTCGCTACGCTGATGATACAGTCATCATTGCTGATAACCAAGAAGCATTACAGCGACTTATCGATAGAGTATCCGCGGAAGGCGAGCGACTCGGTTTAAAAATTAACATCGATAAGACGAAGACTATGATGGTTGGCAGAACCCCGATCGACCGTCTAAACATCTCGGTGAACGGCCAACAGATTCAACAGGTCCCGAAGTTTAAGTACCTCGGCAGCTGGATTACCGAAGACCTAGATCCAGACACGGAGATTCGAAGCAGGATCGAACAAGCCCGAGCAATATTCACGAACATGAGAACTCTGTTGAGTAACCAAAGCCTGAGTCTACGCCTACGTTACCGTTTTGTAAAAGGCTACGTATACTCAGTACTACTATATGGCGTGGAGACCTAGACCCTCAAGGCAAAAAAACTATGAACCGACTAGAGGCCTTTGAGATGTGGATATTTCGAAGATTGCTCAGGATTCCTTGGACTGATCGCGTGAGAAATGACGAAGTTCTGCGACGTATGGGAACGGAAAGAATGTTGCTTCAAATAGTTAAAAAACGGAAAACAGCTTACTTGGGCCACATATTTAGAAACACCAAATATCAATTCCTGAAACTGATTATGGAGGGGAAGATTGAAGGAAAACGTGGCATCGGAAGAAAGAAGTATTCTTGGCTTAAGAACATCAGAGACTGGACTGGTCTCGATGCCCATTCACTCTTTAGAGTCGCCCAAGATCGAGACGAATTTGCCAGAATTGTCGCCAACATTCATTAAATGAATTCGGCACACTACGAAGAAGAAACATCAATACATATTCTTGTAGGAAATGGAACGATCTTCAAAAATGGTCTGATATGATTTTTCATTTAATCGACTCGTTTGAAAGTTATTAAAGGTGTAGCAGATATAGTTAATAAAAAATGGTTATCTAAAAAGCTAGGTACAGTTCATACCAAACTAACTTTTAGTCACGTGATTAAGCTTGACCGGCACAGCATTGCCCACTTTTATACATTCTCTTTTAATCAAAATAGATTTTTAGAAACAAAAATAAATTTATTATAAATATATAAACTGTTATTATTTACATCAACAAAACTCGCTTTCTTAATAGCACTTAGTGGATATAAAGGCCCATTAGTGCCGCTTTCCCGTTCAAAATACTCTAATAATGTTGCAATAATTTTTACGGCTATTAAGCTATCTTGTAGGCTTCGCACTAAAAGAGGTTCTAAAAAGAACAATGTTCGACTGCAAGGTCTGCTAATAAAATGTTTAAGCTTAAAGTATCACAACACTATTTATTTAAAGAAAAAACTCGTAATACAAAACTAAAGTGTCAAAACGAATGACAATGTACGGAAATAAATAAATAAATGCGGCAACTTGACATTTTTTACAGCTACAAAACTACAGTTAGTGAGATCGGTCCCTATGCGAATAAGAACCCTTTGCAAATAATGCTGCATTCTCTAACTCTCCGACATCTTTTAATCAAAAAGGTATAAAGCTATTACATGATAATGGAGCACTCTTACGTGATGCCGTTCCCTCAATCGCGTCAAAGCAAATTAAATATAATACAATATTCCCAAAACCGTTTTATCTACTTTTATCTACTCCTTTTTAGCATATTCGTCTCTTATTACACATGTGTTGTCATTTTTTGTATCTGTTTTAACTTCTCTTTCAGAGCCGGTCTGGCTAAATGTGACTGAAGAGGACGCGCTGGATCTGCAAGAGAATGAGCTCATTATCACCCCAGATGGAGAAAGGACACTACAGGCCTTTGAAACGAGTGAGTAGAGTTTAATTTTTTTTTCCTTTTTTACAGTTTTCTTTTATTTCTATGAAAAAAGTTTGGTAAATTACAAATCTAACAAATTAGAGTTTTAAGTACAGTATAATATTGAATAAAATTGACATCAAAGTAGGTTAAGCAATAGCGTTTTAGTTAGAGACAGAATCTGTCAGTTTTAATATGTATAACCATGACGTCCATATTAAATGTCAAAATCCACAAAATAAAAAACATAATTTGCTTCTTTTTAATTTTTGTTATGTAAAATATTAATAATAAAGTTATGAGAAACTTATTAAGAATTGCTGTTTCTAAAATTTATTTTCCAATGAAGTAATATAATTATACTGAAAAAAATAATTTATTATATTTTTCATAATTTATAAGTACGTGATAAGAATTTTTTGTAATTTTGCTTACTGTAGATACTCTATCTTCGAATAAAAGCATCCCAGTGTTTTTAAAATAACAATCGATGATGATTTCTGTGAAACTTATCCCAATTCTTCTTCTTAAGGTGTTCATCTTTTTCTTCCTCATCAGATGGTTCTATTTATTGCAGCGACTTGGAGTGCTTGGAAGTCCTGTATGCCTGTCCAATGACGAATATTTCTCAGCCAGGATAGCTTCCTTCGGCCTATTCCCCTTTTGCCCCCCTCGATTTTACCCTGGAGAATTAGACGCTGAAAGTGATAGCGTATAGTATGTGTCCCAAACAGGCTATTTTCCTCTTCTTGATGATTTCGAAGAGTTCACGTTCTTCTAGACCAGCTCTTCTGAATATGTTTTCATTCCTCACACGGTCGACCCAGGACAGTCTTGGCATTCTTCGTAGGGTCCACATTTCGAAGACATCAGTTTTGTTTATTGTTGCTACCTTCAGTGTCCATGCTTCCACACCATATAACAAAACAGACCATTCATAGCACTTCACCATTCTGTATCTAAGGCCGAAGTTCAACTTCCTATCTGTGAAAAACCTTCGAAGTTTTAGAAAAGTTGTTCTTGCTTGCTCGATCCTGCATTTGATCTCCTGATCTGGATCCCACGTTTGGTTAACCATGCATCCCAAATATTCAAATTGTATGACCTGCTTGATGATCTCTCCATTTAAATAAATTCTGGTGTTCGGATTGTTGTTTCTGCTGAATGTTGTTCAGCCATAAATTTAGTTTTTTCTAGTATTAATGTTTAAACCCAGTCTTTGGCTTTCATTGTTAACCTTATTTAGAAGGATTTGGAGATTATTTAAAAAAAAATTATCCCAATAAGTCATTTAAAAAAAGTTAGTTTACCAGTCGCGTTTTTATGTTAGTTATGTGAAACTTAGTTAAAAATCGCCGTTTCTAAATATGTATTTTTCATTTAAGTAAATCAAGTACATATAATGAAAAAAATAACATTTATTAGCAAAACATTTCAAAGCTACTACATATTGCTAAAAAATTGATATTAACGTAAAACAAACTTTTCATAATTTATACGTACATGGTGATCATTTTCTTATTTTTTTTTTGTAATTTTGCTTACTGTGGATACTTTCAGAGTAATGTTTAAAATTACAATCAAAAATTAATTCTTTTAATAGAGGGTGTTACTTAAATAATTGCAAATATTATTAGGGCTGGTAGAGTTTGCTAAATGAAGCATATTTTTTTTGTCGTTATTCAAATAAGTCCAAAATAACCGAGTTATTTTACCTTGAAAATTTAAAAGCAAAATTATTTTTTCTTTAAATTTTGAAAACCACTGCATTTTTCATGGGCTTTTGTTGTTCTAAATTTAATTTACTACCTATGTTACTGTATTATCAATATATTTTTAACTCAAAATTAAAAAATAAGTTTTTTTTGAAAAATATATTTTCAAACAAAAAAATCACAAAAAAATCATATACAATTTAATATACCTTTAATAATACCACCCCTAAAAATATGATATTTTTTATGTACATTTATCTTTTTTATGTACATGATCTTTTTTTATCTACACTTATTTAAAACTCACCCGGTATAAAATTAACGTTAAATATTTATAATGATAAAAGTAATTTGCAATAGATTAAGCTATAAGTCATGGACTCTTAGTCTAAAATTGTAAAACATAGTTTTCGCAATTTATAAACATGTGATTCGCATTTTCTTATTTTTTTCTTTGTTTATTTTAGACAATTAATGATTAAAACAAACATGGCAGTGATCTTTAAAATAGCTAACAATAATACTTTCTGTCAAACTTATCACATATATGTCATTTATTAAATATGACATATGTAGGTCACTGTTACAAATTAGTATCAATTATAAGAGATTAAAAAGTTTTAAACAAGAATTTCAACTAAATAGGTAACTGTCTGAAAATTATTTCGTATTTATGTTTTTTATTTTTTTTTTTATATTTAATTTCTTAAATGGAATGTTATAAATTTATTCTCAGTTAGAGAATCTCTCTGTATTTTTAGCGTACTCGTAATCTTAATTATTTTACATTAAAAATGTATTCACAAGTATTTTTTTTAACAAAAACTTATAATTTTTTTGCTATTTCGTTTAAAACTAGGTACGATTTTACTCAAAACCTAAACGATAAAATTTAAGAATATAATATATAATGAGGCACGAACATATACAGTTATCATGTTTTATACCAAAGTTATAACCGTTTTCTTCCTGGTAAAATGTGAAATTATTAGTTTTTATCTCGCGTTCGAGGTTTATTTTATGGAGCAACTAACATTTTAAGGTGCGGCGTTGCCATAAAGTGCCCACTTATTGTCTTACACTGTCGGCAAACCACTTTAAGATGCAGCGGGCCATTAGCAAATTAAGTGGTTTTGGCTAGGACGCCTAATTGGTTTTAGGATAATGAAATTAATAATTCTATCTTATAGTAAAAACGTTCTATACCACGTTATATTGTATGTAATAGTGTCACTTCCTCTTTAAATTATTTAGGGTGTAAAAAATTGGAGTGTAAATAAAGAAACACCAAAAAATTTTAGTGATTTCTTGCCATTTTTTTTGTAAATATTAAGAGACTCTCCTACACCACCTAAGTAACAAAATTCCGACTTCCGACTAGTTTTGACCATAAAATAATTAACTAGAAAGAAGTGTCAACTCTGTGTTAAATCGTGGAAACACGATACGCCACCGAAAGCCTTCGTTGTCGTCTGGAGAACTAATTTTCCAATTGACAGGTTGACATGATGGCTTCATTTTTATTTCCGTTTCCGGTTATTCAATGGCGGGCCCTCTTTCAGTTTAAATGTATTTTGACTCTTTCTTATCATAAATAAAACAAAACAAAATTTTATTCAAACATATTTATTTGAAATATGAGACAACGGGACTAAATAAATATAAAAAATAATGAATTGAAAGATTTCTACAGCAATTACTTAATTATATGCAATTTTAACGTAAATTAGTGAGGTATAAGCATGACTTACAGTAATTTGTAAATAAATACGCGTATTCACAGCCATCAAGGATAGAAAACGGGGGCAGACATGAAAACGGGAGCCTTATACAAAAATCTGAAAACAGAAAAACAGATTTTTTTATACTAAAATTAACAATGTAAAAATATGAAGGTATAAAATATAAATATACTGTTTAAAAAAGCGTCCTATTATTCCCAAAGAGACCTGGTTTATAAATGAAAAAGAAGCAAAAAGAGACAAGTCGGATAACAATCAGATTGTATCAGTCAGATTTACTGTGCATTATTGACAATAAATCGCACATACTGGAGATAACTAATGTTGGCTATAGTTAAAAATGATCTTACCTTGCTGTAAATTGTTTCCATTTTCAAAAAAATCGCCGATCATAAACATAACAAAATTTTCTTGCATCTAAAAAATACAGAAATAGTGTTTATTTACTACCTATTTTTAATATACATGGGACATACCTAGTACTGCAGAAACGTCTTTTTCTCCAGGATTGTTCATGTAATAATATATTTTATATGCTTTATTACCTTTATATTTATAAATTTCTGCCGAAATATCAAATTGAATTTACAAAACAAAACTAACCGGAGAGAATTAAAATGGCGTCGAAATTTGTTCTAGAACAAATCTGAAGTTGTCTCTGAAATCTGTCAATTCTAAACTGTGAAGTTAGACAATAGTTAGACAGAAACATCGCTGTCCTTGTCTAGGCGGCCATACTTGTCGTCAGGAGATGACAGGATTGACACTAATGACTGTTTCCAATTTTCCTATTTCACTGTCACCCCCCTGGTTTTGACTACGCGCAACGTTGAAATTTGTACTTTTTCCTGCCCTATGCATACCCAAAGCTGAAATTACGTAGCCAAAACGTCGCTACGACGTTGCACTTAAACAGTTGTATATTTTGACCCTTAACAACGTTGGTAAACGTTGTAGGGCACAACGTTGTCAGAAGTGGGGTTTTATACCATTGTCATTACGTCGCTACAAGGTATGTTTATTGTACTACAGAATAACAAACGTAGTACAACGTTGTGCAACGTACTTTTAAATTACAGTGTAGGTACATACTTACTACAACGTAATACAACGTTCCATTAAACGACCCAAAGCAACTTCAAAATTATAACGAATTACTACGTTGGATTACGGCGACGAGCGCGACGATATCGATTTTTGTTGTGGAAGCGGAACTATCTACACCGAACCTCAAAAAATTCTGTACTGTACTGTCACAGAGCAATTGGTTAGGTATTTTTTCTGTGATTCTTACTGTATAAAGCGAAAAAAAGATGTATAGGAAAAAAGTATATAAATACTCTACAACTTTTTATAGAAAAAGGAAAAAGTATTTAGAAGAAAGTCAGCGAGCAAGTCAGTGTCCGAAAAATGAAGTGGAAATAACGAGTTTAGGTTCGTCATCGACATACTCGCAATGTGCTACTAGTGGTAACTTATCATCAATGGATACTATAGAAATAAATAACACTACACCTGAAGCCCATACAACAGAGGAATAATATGAGAATAATGA